TATCATAATGCTAATATCTACAGAGTAAAAAACAAATAACCCAGTGATTTAAAAAATTTATTTTTTCTGACTGAATAATAATACTCACAAAAACACAAAACCTGGTGATACTAAATTTATATATACATATACATACATGTCTCTCTTTTACAGTCTCCAAACTATAACCATACATGTATTTATATGTGTTTTATATATATATATACAAACTTTAGTATGATGTAATATATTAATATAATAATTTTATAGGTATGTCTAAATGAGTGATCTGGGCAAGTCATAACCTTTTTGCTAAACAATTATACTGAATACTGAACAAAGTTGCATCCATCCATTCATTATTTTTCACAACCATTGACTAAGCACCTATTCTGCTAAGAAAAATCAGATGCTTCTGCCTTCAAGAGGCTCGCAGTCTAGTAGAGGAAAACAATATAGCAAGCATAGCAAGAAATGTATACCAAGCATATAGACAACATATTATACATAATAATAAAGTGCAATAGGCTATAATGACCATGTACACGGTATATAGGATTTGGCACAAAGGATTGTTTATTGGTTGGGGGAAGAGAGATCAGGAAAGTTTTCAGAGAGTTGGTGACCCTAAGCTGAATCTTAAAAGGACAGTAGGTGAACATCCCCCCAAAAGGGAGGAAAGGGTATTCCAGGCAGAGGGCCGTAGACAGAAGGCATGGGCACTAGAAACAGACACAGCATCATTCCTTGAGATTACCTGAAACAAACGGCAATATTTGGAAGACTGGTTGAAGAGTTGTTACCTATGTTTGCATATTCTGTTCCCTGTACAGAGGGTGAGCTCCTTAAGGGCAGAAAACCTTTATGTGTGCCTACCTTGAAATGATAATTTGCTTCTAGCCCTTCTGCAGATATGCACATTCATAACCAGACCAAATGATTCCTCCTTTACCCGCTTCCTTATCATCCTCATGGCCTGGGGGCAGCAACTCCTTCTCTCCCACCTTTTACGCCAACCACCTCCTTAAGGATCTTCCTCGCTGCTTCAGCTGGTTTCTCCCTTTTACAGTCTCCGAACTACAACCGGTTATTCTCTAAAAGATAATTCTGCTCCTCTCATTTTCCTAGCTTAGAAAAGATGATCATCTGTGGAGGAACAAAAATCAAACACGAAACAAACAACATTTTAAAAAAATCTTAACGCAGCATACACACAAAGCCTCACTCAGTGGAGAATCAGCCAGGCTTTCCTGTCCCCTCCTCCATTTCCCACCCCAGGCTCTCTGCACTGCTGACATCCCAGACGTACGGCTCCTCCTCACTCCTTTGTTCAATAGCATTGCCCTACCTCCTTCTCTGCCTGGCAAACTCCTATTTATCCTACAAAACCTGGTCTAAATGTTCTTTCTCCTTGAGTTCTATAATAAACTTCTCCTCCGTTGGACACTCATCACTCCTTCCTCAAGGCTCCCATAATTTGTTTTATAAACCTAATGGGCATAAATTTTGATATACGAATTTAAATAAGCAAGAAATATCCCATTTATTTATTTGCTTTAAATCTACTTATATTGGTTAGGATTGAGCTTTAGTTGTGTATAATAGAGACCCAAATTAACTGTGACTTAAGTGAGACAGATATTTATTTCTTATTTACATAAAAGTCTGGATTTGGCTGGTAAAATGGCTCCGCATTCCACTAGGTTCTGGTCTGCTTCCAGCTTTCTGCTTCATCTCATGCTAAGGTGTTGCCTTCATCATCTTAGTCTAAGATAGGAAGAAATAAAGGGCAGTCCCAATCCTCTTTTAAGGTAATCTCTCTAAAAGCGCATACATCACTATTCCTCATATCCCATGACCAGAAAGGACTCATGTGGCCACGCCTAGCTGCAATGGAAGTTGGTAAATGTAGTCTTTATTTAGAGTAGCCATGTACAGAAATCAGGGATTCTATTAAAATTATTGCAGAAGAAAACAGATGCTCTGAAGACATTGATAGGCTTTGCATCATTACGTAATTCTGCTTCTGAGACCCAATCCTGCCTGGCTGGGGAAAAAATGCAGTCTGCCATTACTGAGTGTCCTTTTCTTACTCCACAGTTGTGCAAAGATCCCTGGGATATATATATAGATAGAGAGAGAGAGAGAGAGAGAGAGAGAGAGAGAGAGAGAGAGAGGGAGAGAAAGTGTGAGACCAAGCATATTACATTAATTATCCCATTTAATCCTCACAAAAACCCTGTGAGATAAGAATTATTATTTCCCCACTCTAGAGATGAGGAAGCCGAGACAAAGAGAGGTTAAAAGCAGACAAAAGGGAAGCCCTCTGTCATCTATCCCCATGAGTTATGGGTGAGAGGCCCATGTCCCAAATCTCAAGGTCCCTCCAAGTGCTTGCTGCTTCCTAACATGCCTAGATACTGGTATCTTTAGCAAGACTGGGAGCCCTTTATGCAGAGGGTTGCCTTCCTCTCTGGACTTAGGTTCTCCCTCTGGTCAGTTCTTTGGCAAGATCCATAGGTCTCTCTTTCTTACAACATCCCTTTGCAGCCTTCTCAAGAATGCCTCCTGGCTCCCTTACCTTTCAAATAATCTCTTTAATTTAATTTGTGTAAACTTGAAGAGCTTGTCGACTTCAGGTTGTTTCTACTTTCTGCCATGCTAAAATCCCAGAGGTAAAGATTTATAAAGTCTGGCCTCTTACTCGAAATGGGAGGGGGAGGGGAAACACAGAGGGCAACAACACAACAAATCTCAAAACCTTCTCTTCTGCACATGCTTCTGTCATAGCATTTGTCTTGGATCTCACTGAGTTGTCACATGTTTGACTCCCCAGCTACACTGAGAACAACTAACCCAACGACAGGAATGGTGTCTTATTCATCTTCATGTTTGCATTGCCTAAAAAAATGCGTAGCAAAGATGCTCTCAGTAAACATGGAATATTGTCAAATCAAGATTTTTATTGCACCCAATTGGAAGCAGTGATGACATTACTAGTTCTGCTGAAAGAATTTTCACAAGCAGTGATAGGTCTGCTTTATAATCTATGTTTTAACAATTTCTCAGAATCCAGAAGCCAGCTCAGGTGTCATCTCCTCCCACTACCTCTGCAGCCATTCCTCCAGCTGTACCCCAAGCCCAGCCTTTGGTGGCCCAGCCCAGTGTATCAACCATTCAGCAGGTACGAGAATCTAAAGCAAAACACGAGTGCCATGGACTGTGACAGACAGGCACTGTGACCACAACCATCTTGCATGGCATGATCATGTTCTCCTTGGGTGCAACTCCGACAACAGCATAATCACTTTGTACTTCTGATGTATGAGAGCAGTGGCTCCTGTTGCTTTGGGAACATATTCTCCAGCTTTATAGGCTAATTTCTGAGAAAAAAAAAAACCCTCTTTACAAATTGGCTCTGACACTCCAGCTTCAGAAAAAGTGTTGATTACACATGCAGTGAGCTGCCAGTTCTCAGAATGGCCCAGGACAAACACTGTAGATCATAAAACTCAGCTTCAAGGAGCTGCAAAGAATTCTACTTTCTAAGTTGGAACAAGCATTTTTTATGCTTTTTTATGCTTTATGCTCTTTAATAACAAGAAGTTATTTTTTTAGAAAACAGTAAAGGTGCTCATCCTTCAAGTTAATAATAATACATGCTTATTATAAAAACATTTGAAAAGTACAAAAGTATATTAAACAAAAACTTTAGCCAAAGTTCTACTCCCATGCCCCACTCCTCAGAGGTACCTCCTCGTAGCACTTTCTAGCAGATAGTTCCAGGCATTTTCTCTGCATATATAAGAATATATATGTATACACAGACTTTAAAACATATGAAATCATACTGTCTAAATATATTTGTAACATATTCTCAATAAATCTATTTATTGGTAATAAACATATTTAAATACATTGATCTACAACCTCTTTTTAAAATTTATCAAACCCATCTAGTAACACAGAGATGCCAAGTTTTAGTTCTAATCCTCTGGTTTTCAAACTGTGATCTGTGTAGCCCCATGGGTTCTACGGAACCTCCTTAGGGGTTCAGGGTTAATTACATTGATCTGTATGTGAAGGGGCAGGATGGAGATAGAAGGGGGACATATTTTGTAGCCACCATGACCTAGAAAGAAATATAATCAATTCAGTCTAAAATTTGAAATCTGTGATTTATAAACTTAGAAAACATTAGTCTTTTGGTTGGGGATTAATTTGATATACCAAATTCTGTAGATTTGTTATATCTCTCTATGCATCTAATAATCTTAGTGACAATGAATCTATTGTTGGTTCTCCTCTAACAGTGTCAGAGCCCTACCAATTATTTGCAAGGATTGGATGGAAAACCTATCATCGCAGCTCCTGTGTTTACAAAGGTAATGAAAATATTACTTCTTTCTGTCATGGCTTTAAAGACACCACAGCACCCAAACAAAGTTGTTGTAGGATACAAGATTTACTGATTTTATTTCAGAATTTTGGTCTCATATAAATGCAGTATAGGATTTGGGGATTTTTTGGTAATTGGTACAGTATCACCTCAAGTCCCAGATTTCTAATAACATTTTTTGTAATGAGAAAAGGGTCTTCCTCACTCACCACAGTGATCTCTATGGCCGTTCTATGGCTGTAAACACAGGAGCCACACTTAGAAGTAAGGTGATAAGTTTTTAGCCACTTATTACTCCAAAGGTTTCTCCAGACTTTCAGAAGAATCAGATTGCAAATACCTGTCTTCGGTGCTCAAGGAGGTTGGATTAAATACTCTTAGGAGGTTTAACATGAAGCCTCGCTCTAGGACCAAGAGCTTTCTTTTCCTATTCCATGGAATCAACTATGGTGGTGGCATCAAATTCTGCGTCTGTCTTTTCTTTTTTTTTTGAGACAGAGTCTCACTCTTGCCTGGGCTAGAGTGACCTGGTGTCTGAGTCTCATAGTCTTTGTATTTAGAACTGGAATGTTTAGTCAAGCAAGTACATTTACAAATGAAAAAACCAAGGGAGGGTCAGAGAGATGAAGACATTTAGTCAATGTTGCAGGACTAGTTAGTGGCAGAATCAGTACTGGAAACAAGTTCTCCCAATTCTCAATCTATTTGTTCTTTCCCTTATGTAACATAGCCTGTGTTTGTATGTTGCCCAAGACAATAAGTTCAAAGGTGAAAAAATTGAGTCACATTGGATTTTTTGGTATTATGAAGACCAAATAAGTGGAATCTATGCCTTGATTTACTGTTTATTATTTGTATGAATGCAAAACTTGGGCCCAAAGAGATTTTATCCTCTCAGAAATATGCTTTGATTTAGAGCAATGGTTATCAATCATGGTTAATTTTGCCCCCTGAAGGTCATTGGCAATGACTGGAGACATTTTTGTCATCATAATTGGGGGGTGCTCCTGGCATCCAGGATGCTGATAAAATCCTACAATGCATGGGATGATAGCCCCCCCACAACAAAGAATTGTTCAGCCCAAAATGCCAATGGTACTGAAGCCAAGAACATGGTTTTGAGCAAAATGGCAAAAATGATTTTTTCCAAAGGGTACTGATCCTTAAAGGAGCAGCTAAATCCACAACTTCCTTAAAGGAATGGCTAAATCTACAACTTCCATGGCAGCATCCACATTAGGGAAGTTCTGTTGTGTCAGCTCATCCAAGATGGTTTTCCAAAGTCCAGCATGGAGTCTGGAGTGAACTATGTTTACCCATATCCGTATCAGTTAGGCAAACATTCTTCTGAGAAACAAGATGGCTTTCAATTTTTCAGGTTCATTTCAGAACCTGAATTTGGGGGGTTAGCTTTACTATTATTTTCAAAGACTCGAAGTAGGAAAACAACATGTTGTACCTTGGTGGATATAAGACTTTGATGAGGAGTTATAGGTGGACCTTTGTGTGTGTGTGTGTGCGTTGTATGTGCGTGTCTGACATGGCTAACAGAACTACTTCTTATTATCTCCATTGTCACTGGTATGTCACCTAGCCTTAAAACAGAGATTAAGTACCACCGATGCTTTAACTTGGCACACCCATTTGTCATACGTTAGAGACGGTGCTGACTCTTCAAAAGCAGCTAAACCACAAAATAGTTTATACCCAATCCCAACTAAAATTTCCTCCTCTCTTCCCTTCCTCAACACTATCTGCCCAGCCAGACAGGTGACACCAGAGAGGTCCTTATCTCCACTCAATTTCAAATATTCCTAGGCGCTCTGACTTGCCTGAATCTGTATCACCCGGAGCACACCTCGGGTACAACATTTATCACAACAGTAACCTGTTTTCCTTTCTGTCACCCAGTCACCTTGAAGTCAATCTCTAATAGCTGGATAAGAGTCCGTAAAGGTAATAATAGGTCTACAGTTATTTTTATTATTTCAAAAGGTCCACTAGGACTTTAACATTTATTCTTTACACTTAATTTTCACGGGGGCTGATTAGAGTATCAGATTAAGCTGCTTTTGTGTGGCGATTCTGATTACTCCCTTCTAATCAGATGCTCTGATTGGCAGATACATATGCCTTTGATAAATAAAAATAGGAAAATGAATTAATCATTAGCATATGTTGTTTGTTACATAACATCTCTAAAAAGTATTGGCTCCACGGTGGGAAAATGGTCCTTGGTACAATGACACAAACTCTGATGAGGCTTTTTCAGCCCTCTGGATGTGTGCTTTCGCCTCCATAAATGGGATCAGGATTGTTCAAACATAGGCACGAGGATAGGCTATGGCTCAGATTCCAGAGAGACTTATCAGCAACAGTGTGCTTGCGTTAGTTTCCGTCAGTGAGGGCAGGATTGAGGTCATAGTCACTGCCAGTGTCATTAGCAAATTTCTGAGTCAGAGCCACCAATGATGGTATCACGTGGCTATGAGCTACGATAACGGATCATTTGCATTTGTTTGTTCGGGTTATTCCTGCTCTATTTACTTATTTAGGGACTTCTGGCATTCCAGCCTCTATGATTCACTCTCTAAACTGCCCAACAAAGCATTTCTTTGCCAATCATGGCAAGAAGCCATTTTTTTTTGAAGTAACAATTAGAGAGCAGAGTTTTATTTAACTCTTTTTTTCTCCTTCAGTGATAGGGAAATACTTATTTTCTTTTTTAAAAAGGTTAAAATGAAAAGGAGAGTTGCCCAGTGGTAGAGTTTGAGAGACTATGGGATTCCATATGTTAGTTCCTTGCTCTATTCATAGGTAATACCTATGTTTTGAAATGCTTTTTAACCGTGACAGAGATAGACTATCCTCCATCCTCTATGCAGTATTAAAAATACTTTCACTCTGTTTATGCCGGCAAAACAGCACTCACACTTCTTGAGTGCGAAGGGAGGTAAATGATCAAATTAGAATCTTACTCTACCACTGCTCCCACTCCAACAGCAGCTGCTCTGGCTGGCTTTCCAGGCTGCAGCAGCCCTGGCTCCAGCTGCTTCAGCAGTAATTTGAAGAGTGCAAGGGGGCAGGGGAAGTGAGAATTTGAAGAAGAGCATTTCGTTATATAACAGCAAAGGCAGGAAACCCTGAAATAACTGGCCAGTTGCTGGATCCAGATTTCTGAAGAGTTCATGGGCAACTTTCCCCAACACTTTGATTCCAGACTTTTCTGACTCAACTATTGCACAAGGCACCTGTGACAATCCAGGGCAAAAGGGCCTTTGATCAAACAGTTCTTTATCAGTAAAAACTACTCTGATCCAATTCCAGCCTCAAGCGTTGTACATGTTCACTCTCCCAAAGTGCAAAAATACCAACTGGATTTGAAAACGAATAAAATGACAGAATGAACCTTGTAGCTGCCATCTTTCAACCAATAAGGCAGATGCTCTTTCTGAAGGATGTCCCTGCATTATATTTGTGGGCTAAGCAGAAACTATATCCTTTCAACTCACATTTATAGCACCCAGCACAGTGCTTGGCATAAAGCAGGCACATATTAATCTTTATTTTGTGGTAAATAGTTTCCATTTCAGCTAACAAGAAGTTATTATTTTCATCACTTTGTGGCTTCAGAGTGTCTTTAGGAAGAATAGAGGGGAAAAAATCCAATGTCCAATGGCCATGGAAGATGTGCCTCTCAAGTCTCTGTGTTGTCACGTCATCGTACAAAGAACGTCCTCCCAGATGATCAGTATAGTGATGACACACAAGATAGATTTGCACTTTCGGTATTATATACCTCAGAAGGTTGTAGACCTTTGGTTAGAGTGACTTCAGTCCAGATCCATAATTCCTGGTAAAGACTAACTTAATCTTTGCTAGTTGGAGACTGTTTCATTTACCTTATTCATCTTCAGGAAGTTGAGATGAATATGGTCAAGTCTGTACACACCATGCCACTGGTAAAAAATAGCCTAAGACCTACTGCTGTAATGAACATGGTGTCATCTATGTTATGATCTAATGGTGTAATTGGTTTGGATCCTGACATGTAGCAATGTAAGCCTTTCTCATGAGACTTTCTCATGAAACTTTGTAGAAAAACACAGTTTTCAGCAATAACAACTATCATCGTCATCCTTATAACTATGATTTTCAACAATTTTTTCTAAGTGGCTTGTGAGATGACCGTTGGCACCTCCTTTACTGAGTATTGATGTTGTGCCACACTGGAATGAGCTTCCATCTCATATCACAGACATGAGTAAACCTATTCCATACACTACAGTATCTCAGGTAACTTGGCTGGACTCTCAAATAGAACACAGGTCTTGGCCTTCAATATCGAATGAATTATAACAACCAACTGATGCTGGGCTAAATTGTGAGAACATATTCTCTCAAGAAAGTTCTTTTGCAAGCAGGGCTTTAGTGTAGCCTCTACAGTTTGAGAATTGGCTCATATATCTGAACTGAACTGCAAGCCGTGTCAGTGTGTAGATTGACCTCATTCTGTTTATATCCATTTTATAAGTGTGTCATATTTCATTTATTCAATCCCTTATGCCACCACCACCTTTGTTTGTTTGTTTGTTTTGGTTTGGCTCTCTAACTTGTTTGCGTCAAGAAGGAATAAAAACACCATTATCTGTGAATTCCAAGGAAATAGGCCCCAAAGCTGCATTTAGTCACAGAATTTGCTTGGACGTCAGAGTGGAGAACATATTCGCCAGTTTGCTAGGAGCACCCAAGACTCACTGATGCTTCCTGCTTTCCATTCTTGTCACCAGTATATGTTTGGGGTAGACAAGGAATAACAAGACGTTTTACCAAATAGCTCTTTATTAATTCAGAAACCACTCTGTGCTAATCCAATCCTGAATTACTACAGCAATCAAATTTGGGGACGTGAAAAGAACAGAACACTAACATTGAACTACAGTGCCCCCTGGCTGTCACAATGTCAATTTACACACTCCTCTGAAATAAAAGTAAGTCTCTTTCAAAGCCATGTGGTTATGCCCACTGCTGTATTCCTTAGACAAATGCTATTAATATAAATATGATAGGGCCAAGCACAAAATATTGTAATTTGTTCAGAAAAGAGCTGTAAAAAATCATGAAATATTTATGAGAGTGAATGACAAAAGCAAAAAAGACTACTGGCTTTCCTCTTCTCTGAAGCAAGAGCCAGTATTTTCTACATGCAGATCCCAACATTGTAATAATAGAAAGCCTTGCAGCATTTATTACGAGTTTGTGGAGGAAGTTGAATCATAACCTTTCTATTTTTACAGTCTTTGGGCCCAAACAGAAAACAAAACTATGCCCATACACATGCCAAAGAAACATTTCATAATCGAACGAAGTACCAACTACAGAAAAGAGTGTGTGGTTTTAAGTTCACAAATCACAATGAATGAGAAACTAGCTGTGAAAGAAAAACATGTATTCAGTTCTCCCGTACAGTCTAGGAAGGTATACACTGATATTTTACAACTCAAAGTGGTTTTTGTAAATCTTACATTGTGGAAGTATGGAAAAGTATTTAATGGTTCCTTCACAAAATTATAACATATTTTACAATGACGTTAGACTCCACATGTGACTATGATTTTATAAATATTGCCATTGTTTATATGCCTCAACAGATCATCGAGGCTATACTGCAAAGGCCACACAAGGAAAACAAAACAGCAAAACAAAAATCAAATTCCACAACTCCAGAATGTAAATAAGGCAAAGCCAGGAAGAGAGACAACACCAATCACTTGGGCCACAGAGCTGTTCCACGTCATGAACAGCCATGGTTTTTGTGGACTAATACATTATTCCCATGTTGAATATGTCTCATAGATGCTGCACATTTTTTAATGATTAATATTATTTCTGGAAACCAAACTCGATTTGGGCATTTAAGAAGAGAGTTACTGTACTGAAAAGTCACTACTCAAAATGTTTTGCCTAATATTTGATCAATTTACTTAGCCTTGTAACAGAGCGGTAAAGGAAAAAGCTAGTGAGGAAAAGCTTCATATGGGCTCAGATGATTCTCTCTTCAAAAGTAGACTCAATGCGCATCCACAGAATTGAAGCTGCTGGAGATCTAGATTTGGAGAAAAATCCGGATATGGAGGAGATGATGTCTTTTTCTAAAATTCAGCACTGGAGCTGGGTTCCAAAAATGCATACGTTTTGATTCTAACAATATTCTTCTTATTATAGATGCTACAAAATTTGTCAGCTTCTGAGGGTCAGCTGGTTGTCTTTGAATGCAGAGTAAAAGGAGCTCCATCTCCTAAAGTTGAGTGGTATAGAGAAGGGACTTTAATAGAAGATTCTCCAGATTTTAGGATTTTACAAAAAAGTAAGTTGACACTTTAAAATTATTTT